CCCCCCCCCCCCCCCCCCCCCCCCCAACAAAAAAAAGGGGGACGAAAGACAAGGAGAAAAACACCTCGAGTACGTCAACGCACTTGAGTTGGAAGCGGTGCATCTCAATCATCTGGATCATTTGCAGACGCTGCGCCTCTGGGGCAAGCTCCAACATGACGCCAACAACAAAGTTGCCATACTGATCCGTCATCATGACAGAAAGTGGTGTGTAGTTTGCCGGCTGCAGATCACATAGAAAGCAACCAGGCAGCCAATGATTAGTATTGTTCGGATCCAGAGAATCATCATCATAATAATGAAAATTAAAACAGGAGGGATGAGCGCAAGTGAAAAGCATAGGGCGAAAACAAGCCAGGCGTACCTGGCTGGGGCTAGGCGTCAGGACTTCGTTCAAAATGGTGGCCAGCTGTTCGCGCGAGCTCGCGCGAAGGCTCTTCTCCACGACGTTTGACGCATACTTGTGCATGGACATGGGCTGGACGCGAGTGTGGATATACTTCATGATCAGCTGGACATCTTCCTCGTGCTGAGCTTGTAGAATGACCTACAAATGGGTGGTCGGACGGACACCAAAGTGAGAGGTGCTTGCATCAGCACGATGTTGTGTCATAAAAAAAAAAACTGGAACTGGCTCCTCTGGTGGACTGCGATCTGTGTGTCTATCTGTGTGCCAAAGTTGAATGATTGTACGCTTTCTTCCTCTTGGGTTCGTGTGACAGCCGTGGCAGATATGCCCCACCTGCAGCACGTAGTTGCCAAAGGGAGAGTAGGCCAACTGCTCGGTGGCGGACAGGATGTGAGTGCGCAGGTTGCGAAGCTACGAGGAGAATCGGCGCGCAGAGACAGATGGGTGAGACGCAGGCCGCGTGAAGCACCGTAACAGGAGATGAAAAGTGCGTGGCAACGTCAAGGAAGAAACAACATGAAAAAACAAGCCCTGAAAAGAGCGGGGTGTGTTCACATACGCGGTCGCGTGGAACATGTTCAAAGAGGCGCTGGATGACGCGGCATGCGTAGGCATGACTGGACAAATTGATGCCCTCTTGCATGCAAGCGTTGATAATTTGATCAACACTGGCGCTATCAAGGTGGAAGATGCACTTTTGAATCACGTGGTTTGCGTGCTGATCACGAATGCAAGCCAAAAGCGTTTCAGTATCCTTGAGGAGACGTTTGGTCATTTCCTCGCGTTGGGCCGAGGGTAAAACTTCGATGAGGCATTGCAGGACGCGGCAGCCGTACTGGTTGTAGGCCAGCGTTTCGACGCTCTGCTCTAGCTGCTGGACCAGCAGGGAGCGTTGAGGCGATGGGGAATCGGTGAGCAGCTTCTGCATGAGGTAATTGCCAAAGACATCACAGGAAACGCTGACGGCTTCCGGCGCAAGATCATCGACCAGAGCCTTGAGGTCTTCCTGTGGCATTTCCGGGATGTGCTCCTGCAGCAGACGAGAGCCATATTGGTCGGCAGAGATGTCACACACGTGGCCGCGCAGCAGGGTCATGTCAAAGGGTCCCTTGAGCTGTTTCTCGGTGGCTTGAGTCTTGGCAGTCTGGATAAGCACGCGCACGGCGTCATTGCCACGGCGACGGCCCTCTTCGCGGCCCAGCGCATGTGGACGACGGGCAGTGTTGGATTGGCGAGGGTTGCGGGAACCGCCGTGGGCTTGGGGACCTTGGCCCATGCTCGTGGGACCGTGAGAATAATGGTGGTGGTTCTGCCCGTTGTTGTGACGGTGTTGGGGTCCACCGTGGGAGCGGTGCTGTTGCGGATGTTGGTGGTGATGGGAATGCGGGTGGTGTTGCGGCTGCGCCTGATGCGCATGCTGATGGGGCTGGCGGTGGTGAAGCTGTTGTTGGTGTGGGTTGGCATAGTGGGTGGGTCCAACGGAGTGGTTGGTGAGGGGCCCAGTTCCAACGGGGGGTGCCATGTAGGGGTAGCTGGCAAAGCCCGGGGGTGCGTGGCCATAGGTGGTGGGGGAGCCTGGGGGCGGAGACCAGTACTCGGGGCCTGGATGCGAGCCATCAACCATGCCGGGAGGTGGGCCGGCGGCGCTGGTTGAAACCATGGCAGCCGTATCGAGGGTATAGGGGGTGGGTTGTGGGGAGCCGCCAACAAATGGCTGTTGTCCGACGGAGGGCAGGCCCATGGGAGGGAACTGGTATGACTGGGCCGTCGGCTCGGACCAGAGGTGACGGGGGGAGGCGGTTGCGGAGCGGCTCATGAGGGCTGGGGAATAGGTTCCGGGAGCACTTGGGCTAAGGAGTGGGGAGCTGGCGCCGTGATGAGGATGCTGCACGTAGGCAGGGTGCATCATGGGGTTGGGGACCACCTCCACGGGACTGCCGGCCATGAGCCCGGAGAGACGAGGGTCATAGTAGCTGTTGTTCCACATGGGCCAGTGGGCCGCGTGGGGCAGGGCTGGATCTGGGTAGTGGGTGGGGATGGTGGGCGAACCGAGGCTGAGGCCGGCAAATTGTTGGGCGAGGTGCGAGGGAAGGGAGGGTGAAGCTGCGTGATGATCACGGCGCGGGGGCAAGGCCGAGGCCGGGGCAGCGGAAGTGCTGGGATCGGGGTGGGTGCCGGGGGCGGGACCGGCGTTGACGGTGGCGAGCGCAGGATTGTCGGCTCGAGAATTGGTGCCAATAGCGGTCCCGGGGGCGGCACTCATCGGACGTTCAGGGCTATCATTGGAGGCACGAGAGGGGCCGTCGCGGTGGGTGGTGGAGGAGGCCAGGGAGCTACGAGTCGGGGGTGTTTCGGCGATATCATCGGCGGGATGTAGGTTGAAGCTATCGCGAGGGGAGGCCACGACGGTGGAGAGCTTGACGTTGATGCCAAGATCCTTGAGAAAAGCGTCGGTTTCAGCGTCCGAGTCGGAGCTTGTGAAGCGCTGCAGACTCGCACGACGCTGATGCTTGCGTAGACTACAAGAGCAAAGACGGAATGGAGGATGGTGAGGAACGGACGGTTGAGGCGCGTGTGTAAGTGGGATTGGTGGTATTGATGCGTGGCTGGGCGACGGAACAGAGAGGAGAGACCAAGTATTGAGCTTGACTTACGGGGCGGGTCGCATAACCTGAGGATCCAACTGCTCCAGAGACGGCAGCAAAAAGCAAGCAAAAAAGGAAGGAAGGGAGGGAAGGAGAGGGGGGGGGACATGGTCAGCACTCGGGTGGGCGGTTCTGAGAGAGAAAGAGAGAGAAGAGAGAGGGAGAGAAGCAAGGCACAGGCAAAGCACGAGACTGGCGATCCAACCATGTGCATGGGCGGGGTGCTGTGGGCACGATCTTCGTGCATGTTCATGGTAATGAGATCCAGCTCGGAATCGTCATCCTGGTACGCTTGCGGCCAGCGGCCCTTGCCGTTGGCACTCGCAGCCGCCTGAGAGGCGACACCTGCCGAAGGAAAAACAAAAGGACATGAGCGAGTTGAGAGGGGGGAGCAAGGCGGTCCGAGATGGAGCAAAACCTGGACTTGATGGCCGACACGTCGTGGGGAACTGACCTTGGGTGGTGGCCATGTCGCGCATACTCGTTCAAGTTGACACCACGATGCGGGGATGGCTGGATCCGAAAGAAAGCAGACACAAAAGACACGACGCCGCCGCCCAAAGACGAAAACAAACGCGGGCAGACGGAAAACAGCACCAAAACCGGGACCGGAACCAGGATCGGGACCGGGACCACGGGGTGCACAAAGGGTTCAAAGACCAGCCTATGTGCCAGCAGCGGCAAGGCAAGATCGTGAGAAAACGAGCGTGCGCGCCCCAGAGGTGGGAGAGTGAGGGTGAGAGAGTGAGGGTGAGCGTGTGAGAGTGAGTGAGAGCGTGAGAGTCTGGATGACAAGAAGCCACGGAAAACGCATGTGCACTGCCAAGGCCACAGAGACAAGCTGAAGCGAC